ATATATATATATATATATATATATATATATATACATATACATATTTAATTTGTTTTTATTTCTCGATTCTATTGCAGTGATTTCTTGTGGAAATCCCGGAACGCCACGAAATGCCCAGATCCTGATCCATGATGGCCTAACTTTCTCCAGATCCATCACTTACAGTTGCAGGGAGGGCTACTACTCTACGGGGCTGCTGACCCGACACTGCACTGTAAATGGGACCTGGACAGGCAACATGCCAGAGTGCTCAGGTAATTAAAGAGCTCTTACAATGGAATGACCTGACTTTATCTTTTTGCTTCATTATGTTGTGCCATTAATTCAGTAGTCAGTAAATATACCACTGAGATTTGGTACCACTGGACTCTTGGCACCATTTCTTTTAAACCTTTAGTTTATGTGGACACTTTTAATCACTGAAGTGAGCCTCTCTTCTCAAATCCAACTGTCTTTCCATCTAGTATGTATGTACACAAGTATGTAAATGTATTTAGGGTACAAATTACACAAAATAAGATTTCAAGCACAGTCATGTTTGAAATGATGCATAGTATCAGAATGGATTTGTTCTCCTATAAGCCAAAAAGTCCACTGCAGATTCCACGTTATGTCTGTTTCAGTAAGTTTTGATCTAATGCCTGGTGTGTAAATTTATGTAGAAGACTAAAGTGCTGCTTAATCACAGAGATCAAAGTGTTTGTCTCTTTATCCCTGTAAACCATTATTTTAATATCTCCAGTTTAGTATGTAGAAGCTGCTTAAAGCAACATATAGTGCTTGTGAATGGACTTTACAATTGCTGACTGGCATATCCCAAAGCTGAGCTGTATTCATGCGAGGTTCTACCATCAGGATTTACAGTATACACAATGTTTTGAACTGGAGCTACGAACACCGGCTGGCAATGTTAGAAGACCAGATGATCATGACGAAAGTTGTATACTGCGCTCATGTATTCAGTTGTAAATGTTAAATGTAAATAACATTCACATTGACATGTTTGTCAGGGGATTGGAAATGAATGCAAAAATATAAAACTCTGAGCTCATATTCTTTGCATTGCTTTAACATCACATTAATTTTGAACCTCAGTTTTTATTGATTTGACTTAAAGAAAAACAATTATTGTAATCATAAGTTTTAATAATGGAGGTTCCAATATCAATTGCTGTGGTTGGTCATTAACCCACTCCAGTTTGCACTGTAAACACATCTTTAATTTGACTCAGCTAAAGTTGATGCTTCTGCTGCACCATGTTTCTCAAGTCTATTGTAGAGCCGGTGCTTCAGCCAGAAAAAAATAAAAATAAAGACTGTTTCTAATTAAGCTCCAGCTTTGAACAAGAGATAGCATGTTAGAAAAATATAAAATAAAATAAAACATCATACACATTTTTCTCAGCTCAATTTGGCAACAGAAAACTGGTATTGATCTCTTAAGAGCAATGTGTTTTTATTTCAGTTCAGACTGGATAAAAAATATAAAATAACATTAAAGATATGTTATTTGACTTTGGTATGAGAGAACTGGTGGCACATTTGCTAAGTTGGTAGAGCTGTTGCCTCTCAGCGAGAAGGTTGCCAGTTCAAATCCCAGCCTGGGACTTTTCTGGGTGGAGTTTGCATGTTCTCTCTGTGCGTACGTGGGTTTTCTCTGGATACTCTAATTTCCTCCCACAGACCAAAAACATGCATGTTAGGCTGACTGATAACTCTAAATTGTCATTAGGTGTGAGTGAGAGAGTGCATGGTTGTTTGTCTCTGTTTTGCCCTGTGATGGATTTGCGACCTGTCCAGGGTGTCCCCCACTTCTCGCACAGTGATGGCTGGACATGGGCACCAGTGACCCCTGTGACCCAAAAAGGAAGAAGCGGGTAAAGATAATGGATGATTGAGTTGGAAATGCAAGACTAACATGCAGGTCTAGAATTGAGGTAATTCAAACATCAGCTATACCCCAAAAGTCAACTTTTGTTGTTTCCATTGTATTTTTCAAATGGTAGGCAGTTCTGAAACAAAACCTCTAAGGCACATAGAAAGTGTGGATTTTATTTTTCCATAAATTGTCCCCCGTAAAGATTGGCGGGCTCTAGTCATTGCTTTTTACTGTCTTGTATTAATTGACTTTCTCACATTTATTTTAATTCAGCAATAAATTACACTTTACAGTTTCAGTCATTACAGGGTTTGCAATATATTTTGCTATTTTACAAAAAAAAAAAATGTATGGGTAGATTGAACATCATTGTTTGGCATAGTTACAGTTTGAACAATGAGCTGCACATGTTCTCTGGTTGAGCAAAATAAATTAGCTATACCTTCTGGTCCATTCCAAGAACACAGCCTGACAGTCTTGTGTCAACATGTCTCGAAAAGACACACAGCTTCTGTTTAAAGCCACTAACCCCAGTAAAATATATATTTTTTAAAAGTCAGACTTTTTTTTTCTTCCCTCAATCAAGAGGATATAATTGTAACAAGGGCCTTTATGGTTTTCAGAAATCAGACTTAGATATTATCATTTTTTGGGAAAAAAAAAAAAAAGAAGACATGGAAGGTCATTTTTGTTTTAAGGCCATTTTAAATCTTGCAGAGAAGCTTGCTTTCTTTGTCCCACTTAGAAGTTTTTTTTTTTTTTTCTCAAATATGTAGGGTGTACACATTTAAAAATGCCATATTGTACATTGGCAACTTAGATGCTGGTTGTTTTTTGCCCTTTTCTTTCCGAGACATTTACTGCAAAGCTGAGCTGCACTGCAGTGAACTTCTGTTGTTACCCTTCACACATTTTCTCAGCAGGATGGAAAAATACAGCTGAGAAGAAATGTGGTTCGTTTTAAACCTCAAACGGATACAGAAATATACATTTCAAATAAATGCAAGCTATTAGGAAAACCCTACAACATCACAACAAATATTCTCCATTGTTTAGTATGTTCAAGCATTCCTATTACATTTTGTATCCGTGTATTTTACCAAGGACAATTTAGTGGAAAACAAATCTGAGATTTTTTTTTTGTTTTATTATTGTTGTTTGAGTGTAGAGTTGTGTTTACTCATGTTTTTTTTATCCCAATTAATGTTTGCAGTAATCAACTGTGGAGACCCTGGAGTGCCAGCCAATGGGGTCAGGTTTGGCAGTGATTTCACTTACAACCACACAGTCAGCTTCCAGTGCTCTCCTGGGTACACAATGGATGCTGATAGGGCCTCTTCCCTCACATGCACAAAAGATCGAACGTGGAATGGCACAAAACCACTCTGTAGAGGTATATTTGTCTTTAGATGAGTAATGGAACATTGTGTGCAAATGTGGACAGATTTTCAATGAGACCAAAATGTTTTTTTTTTTGTCCTCTCGTAGCCATTGTTTGTGGTCTACCACCCCTTGTCCCTAATGGCCAGGTGGTTGGTACAGACTTCACATGGGGCTCAAGCATTAGCTACTCCTGTAATCAAGGCTACCAGCTGTCCCTGCCCACTGTGTTAACATGTCAGGGCAATGGCAACTGGAGCGGAGAGAAACCACAGTGTTTCCGTAAGTATCATCACTCTGAAATACCTTACACATCATGATTTGTCCTTACAACTGTCTAACCCATACATGATGTATCCTACACTCCTGAGAATCTCATTAGAACCTGACATGAGTTGTGGGTCACCTCATTTGTCTTTTCCCCCACTCCATCCTTTTATACACCTCTTTACAGCTGTATTCTGTGGAGATCCTGGAATACCTGCTCAGGGGAGGAGGGAGGACCGTGGTTTCACCTATCTTTCTTCAGTCTCCTACTCCTGCAACCTTCCGCTTGTCTTGGTTGGCTCAGCTAGAAGGTATTGCCAGTACGATGGCACTTGGAGTGGCACACAACCTTCCTGCATAGGTCAGCTGCAAGTTTATTTCTCCTTTCATAGTGATTGTAGTTCATGTTGTTTGACATGTCCTGACATTTTATTTTGCCCAATAAGGCGGTGATTGAGCTATGAACTCATAAAGTTAAAACACAGTACTTATAACTGAAAATCACGTATCAAAGCTGTTTTAAGGTCTGTACAAAACATGGGCATTTTAAAATTTGCCGTGGCTTTTTTCTGTATTATTTGTTTCTCTCCGGATTGTTTAATTGGCCCCTAAAAATGGGAACTACAAAAAGGAAAAAAAATGTTGTGATCAAACTGTTTATCTGGGCACTGCCATCTGTGTGTTTTGATGTCACAGTATGTGTAGGTCTGGCAGGTTACTGACAGCACTTCAGTAGTGTTTGTGTCTGGTGGATATATATTATAATTACTATTATTTTTAGAGCACATGCAAAGCTGATAAGACTTTATTCAGATGTGATACCATCCATTTTCTTTACCTGCTTCTAATTTCAGGGTCACATGTTGTATCTCCAGCAGACACTTTGTGAGAGGCAGGGTACATCACAGGGACTTATAAAGACAAACAACCATTCACACTCTCAACCACTCTAAATTTAGGGTTTTCATCAAATAACCTAGCATGCATGTGTTTGGTCTGTGGGAGGAAAATATTCATGTAGAAGCTCATACACAAATGTGAGGAAAATGGAAACGGTGCATCTCATAAAATAAAAAAAAGTTCCTAAACATTTTGTCCTGTTTTATGTTAAAGTGGACATAATTTAACTTGAGAGTAGTGACCAAAGGATTGTTGTTTGTTTCAGATCCCACACACACTACCTGTGGAGATCCTGGCACCCCTCTCTTTGGAAATCAGAACAACAGCCAAGGCTACCAGGTGTGAAAATGTTGTTACACAGGAAACAGTGTTCATATATTGGAGAAAAATCCAATTAAATCCCAAAAGGGCATTTTTCTTTTACCTTTATAAGGCAACATGTACTTCTGACATTTTTAGTATTTTATTAGTATTTTGCCATTGTGGACAACAGGACTGAATCTTTTTTTTTTTGTTTTCCTCCCCACAAAATTTACGATATATATAAAAAAATCCACATCATACATTGTTTTTATTTTCCTTCAGATATTATACTACACTCACAATGTACATATGCCATTTGTTAAAATCTGGATAAATTGTGTAAAAAGAGCTATTAAAAGTACCATATTAACATTTTTACACATATAATAGAATATCAACGTTTTATTTTAGATGGACAAACATCATAATTTAAAAAAATATATATTATTATTTTTTATTTATTCATTTAGTCTGTTAACTAGTGGTTCCCAACCCTGTTCCTTGAGGAACACCATCCTGCATGTTTTAGTTATTTCCCTGCACCAACACACCTGATTCAGTGATTTAATTACTTCCTCGTATTATGGTAAATACACAACTTTAAATTACACTGCCACTATCCTGTGGAAAACTCACACCATTTTATGTTTAATGTTCTGCCCTCATCCTGTTTGTGTTCTCTTACAGATCGGCAGCACCGTGTTCTTCAGTTGCAGAAAAGGTTACCTACTGCAGGGCTCGATTTCTCGCACATGTTTGCCAAACCTCACCTGGAGTGGATTTCAACCTGAGTGCATTGGTAAGAACATGTACTTTTACTAAAATTAAAACTGGTGAAAATGCATGAAGCTGGGTTGAAAATGTGTACATGCATTAAAGTTTGCAGTACTCACAACTTGACCTATACATTTATATACACTCCATCTTTGTGTATTTCTGCACCTGTTTTTCTTCCTTCTCATTTAATCATTTTTCCTTTTTTTTTGTTATTTCTATTTAAAAAAAAATGTTTGGGGGTCATATGAATCCTTATCCTTCACTCTCCAGCCCACCACTGCAGCCAGCCAGAGCTGCCAGCCCAGTCTGACGTGAGAGCCATTGAACTGCCGTCTCTTGGCTACACACTGATCTATACATGTCAGCCTAGCTTCTACTTGGCTGGAGGATCAGAACACAGAACCTGCAGGTCTGATGGGAGCTGGTCAGGGAAACCACCACTGTGTGCAGGTATGAACAACATTACAATTCACCTTTTGGCCATTTAAGTATGCTGTGTTAAAAATGTAAAATCAAGTTTTCCAAATCAATTACAAAAAAAAATGCTATGAATATGAGCTTCATCTACACTTTCCATACATTCTCACATTGAAACCAAACTATAAAAATCTTAACTATAGTAAGCCAAGATTTAATAGCATTTTTTTTCCATCCATCAAAACTCCCATTTAGTTGCATGATATGTAGTTTAAAACAGAGACCGCTAACAGACAGCAATTGTCCCTTTGGTTCTGTCCTTGGAAAAATAATCAGTCATATTGACTGTCAAATTTGAAACACATGAATTTCGTAGCAGTGAACAAAGGCATGTTTTTTTTTTTTTTTTTTAAACAAAAACAAAAGTGCAAACAGTTTTTCACTGCACTCGATCAATCAAGCTTAGAATTTGTGGGGGGCATTCAAGAGGCAAAACAGTGGATTCAGTTGCTTTCAACCAAGAGGCAAATAATATGCAAAAAAAAAAAAAAAAAAAAGGTGGAAATGGGAGTAATGCTGCTCAAACATAAGAATATTAAAATACCTCAAAAGCCACAATATAAAATGTTTGTCAAACTCTCACAGATCTATGGATTAAACTAAACTATGTAGAGGGGTCTCAAAAAAAGCATACAAAGCATCTTGATAATTTTTCCAAACCACAAGAGTTTTACTGAAAAGAGAGGAAGGAAACACCAAACCTCATGCTCAATAATCCAAATAAAAATCCAATAATGTTCAGTCAGGTCATCTGGACGATTTATTTTTTTTGCTGAGACGTTTCGTGCTTCATTCAAAGGGACTTCTTCAGTCTGAGCCACCAAACAAAACTGATTCCCACAAACAGCTCGCTCCATAGCGGGGAAAAAAAAAAAACAACACAAAAAAATTGTTTGCTGGTGCTAAGATGGCCTCAGGGGCCCGCCCTCTCCGCTGTCAACTCCTCTGAGGCAGCCATGCCAAACTGGTTCAAAACACCAAAGTTCATGCTCAATAATCCAGGTACAAATCCAAAAGGAAGGAGTTTGGTGACTGTCCTAAATAAAGAACTGAAATATATGTCTGCAAAACAAGTTATGATCACCACCAACAAGTAGAAATACATCACATAGTATTACACAGTGAGCAAACTGGTGTTGCTTTGTTGAAAATGTGTAAAACTTGTACTATTTTCAGAGCGTTTAATAAAATGTACAAGTTTGACAACTTTGTAAAATATGTAAATGCATTTGTATAAACAACAATGCTACAACATGTGCTCAAACTTGTGCACATCCTGTTTTTCAATGGGAAGGTTTTTTTTTTACTGTATTTTTTTTACTCAGTGGGGTCCGTACAGCCTTTGAACTCATCTTTGTAACTGCCAAGTCAACTGCTGTTGATGATTAACAAATGGTTATTCTCAGTCGCTATCAAAGTTTTATGTTCCATACATCAGTAAGTCCACTTTAAACCTGACATACTCATACAAACACACAAATTTACGACCTTAAAGAATTAAACTTCAACCTGATTAGACCATTACCTCCCACTGATCCATTAAACAGATGCATTTCTTACAAATGTCTAGCCACTGTTGAGTAGTTGCAGACACAGCTATTAAGACTCCCAAAAGCATAGACATAAATACATACAGGGGAAAAAAAGCAACACACATTTATCTGGTTAGCAGAATACTAATGGCTAAAGAGCAATGTAAAGAGGTGGATGGCCATGTGATGGATTCTTAAGCTGTTGCTGAAATATACAGGGTGATGGGTATTTCTTAGGCTATGCCATACGGAGTAAAGGCAATGTGGAGAATTGGCCTTTGCACATAAGGGACATTAACAGTGCCTATGGGTGAAGTGATGGAAGGGCAGCTCATGGGTCTGACAGCTAATAAAGCACAATAATGTGGACAAATGTGTGTATGGTTTGTTTGTGTATCTATAGAGCCTTATCTGATCTAGTTTCTATACAGCATCAGTATACCTGTCTTTGTTTGGAGTTGTGTGTAAAGATATATTCCTTCAGTTTATGTGTGTGGGTGTATGTTTACTCCTGTGATGGAGCCCCATGTGAGCTGTAAGACATTATTAAAGTGTCTCCACTGAAGCTGTGAAAGTGTCTCCCTGATTTAGACCAAACCCTGCAGGGGAAGCTGAGGACGCTTTTTGACACGAGTCAAGTCCTGTCATAGGCAGCCTTCGCTCCAGCCACCACAGGGGTTATTAGTTGTAGACAGGTGGTGAAACTGTCCTTACTGCTGTTATATTTGAAGAAAACATTTTTTTTTTCTTCTGTTTTCACCATTTGAATTACACACTGTGCTTGGAGAGTCTGCTTTTATCAAGTGTTCTTTGTGTGTATTGTGTTTTTCAGCTGATAATCGGCCGAGTGGAAAAAGCCCGGTGGGGACCGTTCAGGAGCCACCATCCAAGTTACCTGGTAAGAAAGGTACATATTGAATTAAGCTCATGCACATGTTCTTTCCAAGAACAATAACATTTTAAAGATCACAGTAATTCAATTAATTAGCATCCATGTGTCTTTTAGTCCCAGGTGGCGTGTTTGCTAAAAACTCACTTTGGAGAGGGTCCTATGAGTACCTGGGAAAGAAGCAGCCGGCCATGCTGAGCATCACTGCCTTTGAACCATTTAGTAACCGAGTTAATGGGACACTCATTGACCACAGTGGAGTTGAACTTAAACTGTCAGGTGGGTGTCCTCTCATTTATGAACGGGACCTTAATAAATGCAGTTTGCATGGTTTCCTTTTTTGAAAAGCATATCAGATCTGTGTTCATGGTACAAACAGCCAACTATCTGAAGGATTCAAGAAAGGACAGGTGGAAAGATATCAGTTTGGCTCCTGCCAGAAGCAGATTACTGGTGTTTGGAACAGTTGCATTTGGGTCCCAAAATTCCAACCCCACCCGGTCCCAGCCCATAGCCATCATTTCCGAACCTCACCCGGTCTGACAAATTACCAGTAATTACAGGCCTGAACCCGACCCCCCACCCCCACCCCCCACTAAGATTTTTAATTAAGCTTTGACAGCTGGTTGGTGGACACGCGCAGCTGAATAAAGGGAGCAGAAGATTGGAGCTGAGGTAGTGTTTGTCATTTCATGGTGGTCAAAGCGCATTAAATGCTTCCCTTGCTCGTCCCTGCATTGGACCCTGCTCTGACATGTCGGATATTTTGTGATCTCACCTGTTTGGGTCGTCGGCCGTGCGCATCCGCTAAGTGCATTGGCTGAATGAACGTCCATTTGGGCGATTGATCGCTTGCAGTAATCCATCTGAAGCTTAACTGAACTTTTGACCTATTTCAAGGCCGGTCAGCGTGCAGTCAAATGGCTGTGTGTGGCAGGTGATAGTTTGGCAAGTCATGTTGCCATATACTGTAATTGTATCGTCAGTTGCACGCATCCGCTGATGCAATCAAAAGCCCAACACTGACCCAGCCCACACATTAAGCACATTATTATGGACCGGCCCGGTCCGAATACGGGTCGAGCGGGGCCGGATTCCAGGCTCAGGTTAGAAATGACAGCTCTAGTGTGGTGCAACTTTATTGACACAATCACTTTCCAGCTGAGAACAGAAAGAGATAAACCTAAGACATTCAAGTTAGGCCACTTGAATAGTTTTGCCCTGAACACTATCAATCTTCTTCACAAATTAGAAAAAAAGTGGTTTTAGCAACAATACTTAATAGAAAAAAAAACAAGATAGCATTGTTTACTTTTACAGTGATTACATTCACATTCACATCAATAAAAATGTTAAACTATTGTAAACTGTAACTTCTTTTTTTTTATATTTAACTGTCCTTAAGGGCATTCCTCAATTGACTGTGTGGTGAAAACAAAATATTTTGCTGTTGCCTATGTGCCATATATATATATATATATATATATAT